TATTGTTTGAATAACCAAAAGTTCCGCTGGAGGTTAGGTTGCAGCGCGCCACTACGGCCTGCGGAGATTTGCGGAAACAAAGAACCGGGAAATAAAATTCTCGTTCATTTGCCTGCTCTCTCCTCTGTTTGCTTCCCTTTTTAAGAGTTCCACGATGATAAAGAAATTTAATCAACTTGACGTTATCGAGCGCTTTCGTGTCTTCCCTTTTAAACCGAGAAACTTTTCATCAAGCGCGACCGTGCTGAAGTCAAACAGAAGTAACGGACCCCGACGACAATGGAGGTTATGTTATCGATCGAGAGTTTCTTCCGCCCTCTATGCTCTCCACTTCGCGCCACGTCTCGGCGGAAAAACTTGCGTTTCTATGTATGATCTCGAACGTAGACAGGCCACAAAAGAACGTTCGATCTGCTTTCACAAGACGTCACCACGTTTGCACGTCTCTTCGAAGCCTTTTATTCAACGCGGTGCATTTTTCTTGGAACTGCTGGCTTCTTCGCCGAGCCTTCTCTTTTATGATTCTGGGAATTTTGCCATGATCGTTGGCTAGCCAGTTTCAGCCGATTTAAACCGGAAAATGATTCCAATTTTGGGTGAATATTATTGTTTTCAAAGCTATGATTCTTTTCTCCTTTTACTTTGTTTTAGTATACAGAGAAGCAGGGAAGTTGGGTTCCGAAACTACGTCGTGTTGTGAGAAATCAGAATCGTATTGTACGGGACAAAGGATATTTGCGAAAAGTGAGGTTAGGTTCCGGAAACGAATTAGAATGGTTCAGAATTTTAATACTGAAACTAATTAAAAATGGCCTAAAAGAACATTTAAATCTTTTATTAAAAGTTCCACATTTAACCCTTTTTCTTCGACCTCCTGGCTATACATATATTTTTAACGTAGTTTTAATAAAATTTTTAATTTCTACTGTTAACACATTTTCTTTTATGTTCATGTTTCGTCTATACATATAAATTATGTTATATCGGAGTACTACAATTTTTAAACATTTAAGAGCGAAAACGTGCTATAAAAGTGTGATATTTTCAAAGATGGAATTATCTGTATTTCAATGAAAACTGTCTTTGAGAGTTTCTGTATGAGTTATAACTGTGAAATTACATTTTTCGTAGATATGTCATATATACATATATCTTGGCTTTTTCACTCGCAATTGATATATCTCAAGTTTACGGTTCCTTGAAGCGAGAGTAACCTGGGTCAGGATTTACGGACCGGCGCTGTCGAATTAGGAATTTATGCTGCATCCTGGAAGACGTATTATGTCTAAAAACTTTGCGACTTATGTAAATTCTAGGAAGCTATTAAACATTTCTCTTGACATCTTATTGGCACATATAGTCATATATAAGGTTGGACTGTCTAGGAATTCTTGGTTAAATTTTGGAATACTTTCTGTAAACATGGATTTACAAAATAAAAATTAAATTCAGACAAAAATTGATTTATTACATACTGCCAAAGACTTCGAGACAACATTCGTCCTATCATTAGAGAATCTGAAAGCTCCTAGTAACAATTCTCTGTCAAATTTTCGAATATCTTTTGCAAACCTGGATTTATTAAATACAAATTATTAAATATTACCAAAAATTGAACGCTATATTCTTCCTATCGGGATTAGAGTATTTGAAAGGCCTTAGTACAACACGATTTATATATTTAAGCATCCTTCGTGAATATATTTCTTAAATTATGAGGTATAGTAATGTAGTAAACCTTATTATTTACACCAATTCTGTTTCTCTTACAATACTATCGTATTATACGGGGATTATTTATGTCCATATATGTTCATGTATTTTTCTTAAATATTCTATTCGTTATTCATTTTCATATATCTGAAATAAATAACTAAATTATTACCAACAACAAAATCTGAAACAGATCAATGGACTACGTAACATTATCGCCCTATAGTATCTTAACCTAATGAGACGATAGTAGCTAATGTCTGATTAGTGGCGCCATTATCTGCTTGTTGGGATCTCTCTGGTAGCAAGAAATTCGCAGATATTAGACCGATTAAGGTCATCCCAGCTACGTAATACCACTGCTATTACCATAATAGCAAGCAACAAACTTCGTAAACGTTTGACCGTAAATTTATTATCAATCGAAGGGAAGCAATTACATTCGGCGATACTAATGGCGGAGCTATCCGCCTATCCTTCTCGTTCGCGAACCGCCTCCCCACCCAGTGATCCCACATCTTGTCCGAAATAGTTTATCGACTTCGAGACTCTAAAGTACTCCTGTCAGTCGGTTGACAGGGCCGGAATGGGATCGTAAATAACGAGGGAAATTCAATGGTCGATTAGAAAGCATTCCAGCAAGTAAGTTTAATCGTGAGTGGAACTTGGTTTACGAGACAACGGGTTGACGAGGTACGAGCACACGCGTCCAAATTAGGGGCAGGATTGTTGTCGGTGGGCGATGAGGAATAATGCAAATCGTAATTCAATCTGACCCGACGCCGGGAACCGGTCAGAAAACGATTCCGCGTTTAACCCCAGCGAGGAACGAAGGTCGCATAGGCAAAGTAACGTCCCACGTATATATCGTGTCGTGAGTAGAAATTCTCTCCCCTCTCTTCCCTCTCCTGCCGCGAAGAATAGTTACCCGTAGAGGAATACCGAGTGAAACGATAAATTCTGGTCGCAAAGTGCTTCTCATAATTTACGATTAAAAGCTGGATCGGTCCGCCAGAGACCTCTATCAAATTATCACAAGCGATTATTAATTCTGTCCTAACCTCTGCGTGCGTCGTAAAAGCGGAATACTTTATATTCCGGGACATAGAGCACCGTGGGCGAGGAGAAACTCGTGAAAAAAGCAGGAAAGAGGTAATCGTTCTGTCGTAATCGTTTCTGACAGCAGGATCGTTTTATGGCCACCCAAGAGGGACATAGGTATGGACACGTTTCTTATAGTTCCCGTTTTCCGATGACAGATGGCGTTTATGCGCCATTCTCGAAAAATCTGTCCCACGGAACGCTGTTAACCAGCTCGTGGTATAGTCCGTGCGAAAAATATAGCGTGCTCGTAAATTATCGTATTAAGCGGGAAATGACACCGTTCGAGTCGCCGAAACGCTGGACAGTCTGCAGTCCCTGCTTGTTGGTCTCCAACGCCAAGCAGTGAAATGTCGAACGCTATTTTGCATTTCGAATATTTACAAAAATTTTCACCGTAATCGTTATTCGAAATATTCAGGAATAGGGGACTGGTTCCAAATCGTCGTTGTACGGCACTGGTTGATCGCAAGAGTCTCATTTTCCTTAAATGTCTCGTCTTAGACTTTTGCAAGTGAAAATACTTGTACTTTTAAGCTCCATTGACTTTACGAGCACGCTATACTTCTCGCACGAACTATAGCTGCCATGGTGATATTGGTAGAGTCAAAGATGGCGAATTGGTTGAAAAGGAACTCAGTTGAATAGGTTAGAAAATAGATACCATCCTAATTGAAAATTAAGATTATTATACCTTAATTGAATATGTGGTCGAAAATAAAGCTTCGGTTTCTGACGCTTCTGAAGATATCGATCGTCAGTATAAAATATGCATATCTTTTTACTTGCAGTAGGTATTCAAAAAATATCTTCCAGTAAATTAATACCAATTGCAGAACTGTCAATTATGGTCACATAATATAAAAAAATTGTTTGTCTCATGAAAATACTGTATTACTCGATATTGCCTCTCAATGATTAGTCAATTTAAATTTCCGTATGATGCAGCTACACTTCAAATTAATTCAGTTACAATTCATTTTAGTGTATCTTAAAATTTACTATTTATTGAAAATTTATTCACATACCAAACAAAATTGAATACCATTACCATTTCGTGATTTGAAGTTCTTTTTCGAGATACATGCATGCAATTACATTTTAAGAATCCGATTTCCAGCGCGCGCTGTTTAAATGTCACATAACTGAGTACTCACACGTGCTGGTGTGCCGAGGACATGTGTAGGTAGATTCATATGTACGTGTTCAAATACGCTATACCAAGAATATCAAGTATTCCAATATATCTTTGGATTCTAACAGAACCTCGTGCAGAGGAACATAAAATATTGCTTTGGACCGAAGGATAAGAAGCTTCTGGTCTGTCTTAACATATTTAACCTCATCCATAACCCCTTGCACTACAATTTGATTATGAAAAATTATACGTCGGGGTAGTATTTAATTTTAGTTAATCTCTATATACCTATTCCATCCACGATGAAATTAGAAAAAAATTATAGAAATTCTTCGAATTTTGTGCATATTAAAGCATTGCGGAACATAATTATGATCGCGTAATTAGTATAACTTATGATCATAAAATTTGACTCGAAGAATTCGTAACGAGTTAAACTCGTCATTGCAATGCGAAGAGTTGTCACGGAGTAATAATTTTCTCAAAATTTCCTATTTTTGCAATAATTTTTACTAATACAGCATAATTATTTTCATTATATATTATAATATTTTCCTCACGTCGAAATTCGAAAAATACGAGAAAGGTGTGACCAAACGATTAGACGTTAAAAAAATTGAAATGCTTCCAAAATTATTCAGAACGCGTCACAAAATCTACTTTAAAGGCTGTAAAGTGCCTGTGGTTATGGTGCTGTGTATGCAGCGCGTGAAATTCAGTTTTAAATCACGGAAGACGTATCACTCAATTTGTCGAAGACAGAAGTAACTTTTTAAACCGACACGAGGCATTAAATCCGTTCGAGATTGGCCGTAAATCATGCACGAAGCGTATGCACTCAGAGCAAACACTAGGAACGGAAGAAACACTTTGAAATTATCTCACGATAAGTGTTGCAATTTCTGTAATCACTATAATTCTCACCGACAATTCCCCGGCAAGGCAACTCGACCGCTCAGTGTGCGTAAATTCCGTACACGTCTCGACCTCATCTGACGAAGATATCTTCTTTCTCGCTTTTACACCACTACTTTCGCTTTTATTGCAGGACGAGGCGGTTGCCGAGGCACTGGAGGCCCTCTTGATTAAAGGCCCGAAAGTATTTATTCTTCATCCTTCACCCGAGAGGACTCTGTAAGTATTTTTTCTCGCGGAATGTTGTCCAACGCGATCTTACGTCGAGAAACATAACCTAAAGTATAGAATATAAGTTAAAGGTTCATCAAAACTTTGGGCAAAATTAACGAAGCAATGTTAATGAAAAAAATTGGTTAAACGAATTAATGTGTATCCGAAAACTCTCGGTGCATGCATTGCTGGAAATTCGTGGAACAAATAAGTGTACGATGAATATTTATAACATGCACCATGTGGTGTAATGGCTATCACGAGTCGGACTCGTTATCGATTACCAAATTCACTCAAAAGCGTCGAAATTGCCAACAATTTCGTCGAATTGTTCAGCTGCACGCACAGAAGTTTTTAGGAAATATCTCTACAAATGGAAATTCATACCATATATTAATTAAATTAATTGTCCTCTTGAAAAATGATATTCGCGGACAGAGACACATGAAAATATTCGGACACTCGCAAGTGCAGTTTTAGAAAAGTCACATACGCGTGTTGAATAAATATTTGAAACAAACATGGTATGAAAACTTTCAAAATTAAAAAATAGAATTTGAAAAAAATTCAACGATGTGTATAGTATTTACAATACATTTATTGCAAACATGGAGTATTGTTCGATTGTAAAGTAAGAAATTTCAGTGGTACGTTGATTCATCTTCAGTGTTAAGAGAATTATCCACTGAACTCACTAGCGCCATCATGAAACATATCTCTAATGACTTGAAAATAATTGAGGTATTTTCTAATTTTACTCCTACAATCTTCGGGCTTTTTCCTTACTGCATGTTCTATATCCTTTCAAATATTTCAATCTGACACATATATACCTCAATTGCTCAACGTAGCTAATATAAACAATTGAATACGTTCTTAAACAAATAAACAAGAAAATAAGACATTGAACAATAAAAGTAGTCAGTGATGAATAGCACAGAAATAACATGGATCTAAGTATCATCATAAATGATTCGATACAAAAATGGATGTGTTTCAATTCATGTAAATTTGGTTTCAATCCCGGAAAGCCATTACTTTCCTTACTTCGTGAAATATTAAAGAGACCCAAAATTTTGGTAAACCTAAATTACGTTTCGTTTCGCTATTTACTCCTATAAATGTCAAGGAGTATTTAATAAATGAAAGCTGGAATTTTTCTCACTCGTCGTACCAACAATCGAGTGTTCACGAGTAACAAGATCGTCGATTAAAACGAGAGGCATCGTTCAACGAACGACTGATCCGTGTAAATCGAATTTCATCGAAAGCCAATGGCTCGCGTCCGATTGTCTGGACAATCTCTTTGTTTCCGCGCTCGTCCTCATAGTTCCGTCTCGTGCCGCGTGGCGTCGTCGCGGACTTCAGGGGAACACTCGAGATCAGTACGTCGGCTGAAGATGCGCGGCGAAAGTTCTAATTGAAGTCCCTGCCTCGTAACCGCAAACTGTTTTGCTCGATATTTCAGTAAGGCGATGCTGTGCAACTTCTACGAGGAAAACTGTAGCTTACTGGAGGAAATTTACGAGACGATAAATCTTCACTATGGTAAGATGTTATTGCTAACAGGACGTGTGCATGGACGCAGTGTTGGTTGATTTAACATTTGCATTTGCACTTGATATAAATAAAATTTGTTGCTGTTTCCTCGTGTTTTTGAGGTTAATTAAACACAGAGGTTAATGAAGAAGAAATGTATCTTTTAATTAGTAAATTTATACTCCAACTGAATTTGTTTTTTTTATGTTCTTGGAAAACAGATTTTTTATCATTTTTTAACGAGCTCTTCATTTATTCTCTATGAAATCCCTGTGGAATTTCGACTAACGAGATGCGCGTTTTTGTTTGCTTCTGTAGAGAATTATGGGAAAAATATACTTCACCTAACTATATACAACCTATAGGTTTAAGTTTTATGAATTTCAAAAACATTAGTTATGAGCACCACCAGTGACAATTTTGTCAAATATTAATGAAATTCTTCGTAACAAATAATCACACGCTACATTCAATCTGATTAGCAATTAATATCGTTAGAAGAAACAACAGTAAGTACTCTTAAAACGTACGTAAGTGCGAGAACAAAGCAGTAAAATCGCCATATCACCACGATACCCAATCCAATGACTAAACTTTCCTGACTAAGCCTACATGACAAATCATTCATAGACAAGCATTCAAAACTCACAATTTTGAAGCTTTGTTAGTCATTTGCATTAATCGTGCAGAGCTCTACAAGTCTGACAAGCTTGCAACATGAAAAATACCTCATACATCACCTGCTATGGTTCCTTCATTAATTAACCTGTAATTCCAGCGCGCCATGCACGTTCCCTTTGTCATCGTTCCAGGCATTATCTTAGCTCAGACCAAGTACCTCGACGATGACTATTGGCGCTACGCCGTTTCCTGAAGCCCTACCCAGCAAATCTTCCCTCGAATCTCTAGAGTCGAAAACTTACGCGATACTTCACGGGCTTCGTGTTCCACGTACGAAAGCAGCAAGACATCCGGATTGCTCCTGCCGTTGCTCGTGCTTTGCACGTCGAGAACTCACGTTACACGGCGCATTGATTACTCTAGTACATCGAAAACTCACGAGGATTTCGACGGAACATAGGTTAACCGTTCAACATGGCGTCAAGTGAATCGCTTCGCAGCGATCGCACTGCCTCTCGTGTCCATTCCAGAAACCATGCTCCTTAACCTCTCTCATACGTTTGCACCATTCGGTGAAAAAATTGCACGAGTAAATACAACATTATTTCGCATTTCCAAGGTGTAAAGTTTATGTTTGTAGAATGTAATTTATAAAAGAAAATATTGCATCAGTATAATGTAAATTAATTTGACACAAAATAGGAAATGAAATGCTTTCCTTTGGATCTTTCATACAGACCAATCTCGCGAGAATTTGATAAAGTTTGTATGAGAAATAGTTCTGAAAAGAATATTTCACACATATCTCTCTTTTATCGATCATTGTCCTTACTAAAAGTATGAAAACAGCCCTCAAATATAGTGGTCGAAAGAATATTTCAAGACACATCTCGTCAGTAACTCAAGGATCATTAAATTTCAAAAAGTTGCGTTTAGTTCGTCGAACTGTACATACAAATGTACAATAGTATCGAAACGTTACTGGGTTTAATAACGTGTCGTTGCGCGGCGCTGCCTGTCGCGTGTCATGGCGCCTTGCGACATCTCCCCGAAAGAAATCCGTGCAGCCATCTTTGTTATCGCTCGGTGTCGCGAATAAGATTGATATGGGCATCAATTTCGCGGGAATTTCTTCGGAGAGGGCAGTTTGCAACGGTTAGTTATGGGCTGACGAAGCCGGTCGTAAAACGAAATCGATGCCCCTTATAAGAACGTTCCACGATCGCGTCTACTGGGACATTTTCATTTTTTCCGACGGTTACGATGAATAGACGGCAATTTGCGTGCACTGTGCAGTATACTTGGCGCCGAACGATCCTTTTTCGGAATGATACCGTCGTTGGACGCCGCGGCAACTTTTTAATAGAGTAGCGGGAGCAAAAAGAGAGAAGGTGATGCCAGAGGAAGGGGAACTGGGCGAAGTCGGAAAGAAAAATTGGAACTCGATGAATAGAAAGAGCGTTGGGACGTATCTATTCATTGAGGGGATCCAGGACTAATTTCGTTGAGCTTCTCTGTAACCCGCGATTCTCTTTTAAGCGTCTTCGGCCGCTTTACTCTTTCACACGGCCGCTGATAATGCGCCACTCGTTAATACAGGCTTGACCGAGTTTTTAATTGAATGACCGTGGAATGGCGCGAAAACCAATCGATATGTAGCCCAGCGAGTATAAAATATTCAAAGGCGTTCCATCTTGGTAACAGGGGTGCGCAATTTGTAATCCTCTTTTATCCGTTCCGCTCGTTTTCGCGCGTCTTCCAGCAAGAGATCGATGCGTCGCTTCGAACAAATACGACGGTTTCTGCTCCCCGGGAATTAAACGCGTCATGGTACGCTCCTGCGGAACGATCACGTGACATGTGCTGCACGGCAAGGAAATTGGAAACGATGATCTCGATGCTGATGGCGTTGACAATGTCGCTTTCGTTGGGAATTGACAACTGCGTGACGAAGTTTGGTCGTTGCGCGTTGAAATATAGGTGCTGGTAATTATGAAAGTGATGATTCTAAATGGAAGATTTAAAAGCAATTCCGAAAATTAAAATGAAATTTAAGAATATACTAACTAAAGTGTCTATATTGTATCTGTAATAATCGGTTTTACTTTTACTTTTTAATTTTTACATTTACTCCTCTCGCAATGGCGATCCGCACGTGATTGTACGTACAAATATATATTTGTTAGTAACTATACGCCATTTTTGACCGAAATTACCGCGGTCATGTTTAACAGTGCTGCATTCTGCTGAGAAATTAAATGTTCCGCCGCAATCCTACATTAGTTATTGACCGGTAATAATAGGTGGCGCCAGGTGTGCGTGAATGAGTGCGTTTTGTCCTTTGTGTCCCGGTTCCAACGCTTGCCTCTATTGTTTCTTCCTTCCTTTGTATGTAATCTCTGTGTAACTAATAACTTTTTGCTTTTTATAGTTGTAATGAGTATACGTGTAAATGATATTCCATTTGTATGGCTCATACACCTCGCTACGTAAATTAAATGATGGAACATTCATTTACGTTGCAGCGAAACAATTATTTTCCAGATTATATTTGTAACTTTGACGTAATTAATTCTCTTCAAACGTATGATATACAATGAGACCACTTTCATAATCATTGCCACGTATATGAACCCTTGTGTCTCTCGATTATAATAGAAATAACCATTTAAACTTCCTGTAAAAGTTACTGATTATTATAAGGAATCCTTCCATTCGGTATAATGAGATTTATCGTAGAATGAATCAATAAGAGTGGTTTATAAATATTTTTAAACCGCTGTGCTGAAATATTATAATCTTGGATGTAAGTTAGTTATTGGAACAAAAGGCTTAAGCGATACGATGAGCCTCACCCTTCCCTTTCTGAGATAAACTCAAATGTCAAGTTAGTTGCAACTTCTTAATGAAACTTTTATGGACTTTTTATCACCTGACATTTTAGTCCTATTTATATCCATAAAGCACACTGGCAAAGTTTGTGTAGAAGGTTGGAGGACACACAATATATTTAAAGTCTCGTATTTATAGCACTTTAAGAAAATTCAGTTTACCAATAATTTGATAATACGTGACAATAAGAATTGGCGAGATAACGAATTAAAAAATTTAATCAGAATTGTGTAAAAGGAGTGCGAGTGGAGAAATAATGTTAAATTAAAGTATATATATTAAAGTATATATAATCTTTGCTCGTATTCATTTATATCGTTAAATAATACAAGTCTGATGAAATGGTGAACAACATTAACACTTGCACATTTAATTTCCAAGATAAAGCTGTAATCCGGAAATTTTCATTCGCCAATAACCACTCTCATTTTCTCCTACTTCACGCTCCATTCCATTAGACAGCACATTTATACCCTGCCTCACGGGTATATAGCATGATCGAAGTCGCTTCCTCGCTTAATCCTCAGGGAACGTACGCAAATTTCACGTGTTTGCAGGCCAGGAATGTTGAACCGTGGTCGAATTAATTTGACATTCCCTAGTTATAAAATCGTCGAATAACCGTCACAAGGTTATACCACAACTGCATTTTTGCAGTCGTAGATGTATGTAATATCGAAACAAATTTCTATGGATCGCAGCATTGCGAGGCAACAATGCGTACGATGAAAGTGTCGTGCAAATGTTTAAGCAACGTTTCAGGTTCCTCGGGGATAACTCGACACGTTGCTCGAAATTATATTTGCACGCAGATCGCGGATCATTGATCATCGATCGATATCTTTCAAGTGCTCAGCTGAACACTTAATTACATTGTACAACACGAATATCAATCTATACATCCAATCCGTTAAGGAAATTGTCCCATCACTTTCAGTTCCCGAAAATTGCGAGTTTTTCGAAAAATGCACAATTTTTAGATGAAATGACGTATTAAATAAAAAGTGAGAACGTTGGGAGCTTCGGTTCCATCTTAAAAGTTAGGATAGACTATCTCGAATTTATCAGTGAGTATAATTATAATTATTTCCGTTTCTGAATAACTACAGCTGAACATGAAAGTTTAACAATAAACCGCGGGGCGCACTTTACACGCAATATTCGTATAACTAACTCACAATTAGGGAATAACTAATATTTCAATTTTGGTGCGTAGCTCTTAGCTTGGAATTACTTTCCAACGATTCCTTTTTGGGAAATAATACCAATTACCAGGTCTCACCACGTGGAGGTGGCTACGCATCGAGACCCGACATGCGCCCTAGTGGCGCATCCTACTGGCGCTACCTGTATCAAAAGTAACCTAATCTAACTTGGAGCGAAACAAGTTAAAGTGAACCTACTGACACTTTACTATATATCGTGTCTCACAAAGGGTACCCCGATTCGGTATACTAAAACTCTACTGTCGCAACGCTAAGATATTTTCAAGTTCC